GTACACACTGAAATACATAGAAGTTCAAATAAAAAGAGGGTCTCTTCTGGCTACAGTGAGACTAGTCTGGAACTGTTGGTAGAATTTCATCTGGTGAAGGAGGAGGAATAGAACGTTATACACACTAGAAACAGGGTAAAGCAAGCTCAGGGGTAAGAAAGCACCCAGAGAAAGATGAGTTTCCTAGTGTACTATCATATGTTTGGCAGAATATGGAATCAAATGCTCTATTGGTAGATCTGAATTATCAGATAATAACAGTCTTCAATGTCAGGCTTTTAAAAGGTTTAGACTGGGCTTGGAGATTAAGTGTCGTTTAATGTTTGACATAAGGGAGGTTAGACTCTTAATTTCCATCTTTTCTCAGGTTTCCTTCTTTATTTATTTTTTACTTCCTCATATTATGCTTCAACCACTATATTAGTTTCAAAATAGATACCTTCCTCTAGAGTCCATGTTATAAACTGCTGCCTGTTTAATTATCCTAAAACATAGCTCTTACCCAGAAAAGTCTTCTGATGGAAGTATTTATGACAGGATAGACTCGATCATCGTGGCCAGGATTTCAAGGCCTCCCACAATTTAATTCTAGTCAACTTGATCTTCCATTATTCCTTCACTAAACTCAGTTTTCTGAGCAAGGTAACTTATCTGCTATTTTCTGAGAGATACTTTCTATTCTATGTCCTTCCATATAAAATGTTTCCATCTGGGATGTTCTCCCTCTCCCAGTTGCCATATACATAAATTTTTAGTTTCTTTAGCCTCACCTTAATGGCCTTTCTTCGGGCCTCACTGCTGGAAATAAATTCTCTAGTCTCTGAATTCCACACTCTCCACCACACATTTGGCACTTACTATTCCTTTTATTGACGTTGGTAATGCTTACCTCCACATTATATTGTGAATTTCTTTACAGCTGCCAAGATTTTGCAGAATAGACAGTGTACAGAATACATTGACTCTACCTGGAAGTGAGTATCTGTTGAATAAGGCTCTGGGGTGAATGAACAATGAATTAATGTAGGCACTAGAAGAGTGCTAGTAATATACACAAATGCCGGCTAAGTCCTTTGCCTGGCAGATTAGTGAGGTCAAATGCCCAGGGCTTTGAGAAGGGAGATGAGAACTCAGGAAATGTGTTAATTTCCTGAACACAGTTAACCCCTGGATCAGTCAGGATGCTATTTAAATATATAGAGAAATAAAATTTGAAAAAATATGATGTTTATCACTACTGCTCAATCCAAATAAAAGGGAGTCCTAACAGAAGACCGCAGCTGTACTATCCTAATAATGTGAGGAAACCAAGTATTAAAGTTAATTCCTCGTGTGTGTGTGTGTGTGTGTGTGTGTGTAGGTTTCATTTTGTGAGAAGTTAGTGTTTGAGCAGAGTAATTTGATTTATAATAATGGACCTTGATCTCTGTGTCCAAGTGGACTGTGCAATAAATTTAGTAATTTCCTCTTCCTCTCTACATAAAGGTAATTTCTGGCATGATGAAGTAATTAATGTAGATGAGGATTTTTCAGAAGTATGAATAATCAAGTTTTCTGGAAGGAATTCATCCTAAGGCCAAACAAAGTGTAATCATGACCTTAGTCACTCAGGATACCATGTAATTCCAGACCCCTAATTGAGCAGAAAAAGCAGGAAGATGCTCCTGTCCTCTAATTGCCAAAGTAGCCATCCTCAGCAGATTTTGTAACCAACATCTCTAAAGAAAAACTACATTCTGTTGGCTTTCATTCTTAAAATGTGTTCCATCAATCTGGATAAATTGGAATTCTAACATTTTGTTAGTTGCATGGCTTTAGGCAATTTTTAAAATCTCTCTGGGCTTCAGTTAACTCATATGTAATGGGGATAATTAGTAATACTTACTTCATGCTGGTTGGTGGATGATTAGCAAGAAAAGTACCTGGCATAGTGACTACATTTCAGGTGTTTAAAAAAAACAAAACAAACTTTTCTTCTTCCTTCCCTAGCCACCCACATAAACAAGGAAAGATAGACAGATCAAATGACATCAAAGTTCTAAGAAAACTGAATTTGTATTGTACTTTTCTCTCAGAAAATATGAGATATATACAGTACAATTTTATATTTTAAAAGAATTAGCAAAAAAGTTTTTTTCTGGTTTATTCGGTTTCACATAATCAGTGAAGGATCAAGGACTAGAATGTGTCAGATGTGTCTTCATTATAATTGCACATTATCCCCAGACCCAATTCTGCTTTTTCAAATCCAAGTCTTCACAATTCATTGTGTTTTCAATATGTATTCTTTCATTCTCCCATTCTTATTGTAATCAGATAAGCTGTCTCTTTCCATTTATCAGGTACTATTTTGGAGATAGTATATTGTTTTTCTTCCTGAGGTCCCCTAAAAAACACTTTAGCAAGAAGTAGAGGGAGCTTACCTCAGATTTTTTTTTCATTAATTAAATGCCCTTATGTTGAGTAAGGAGCTCTGGTAGCACAGTGACTAAGGCATCTGACTGCTAACTGGAAGTTGGTGGTTAAAACCCACCAGTCACTCCATGGAAGCAAGACTGGGCAATCTACTTCTGTATAGATTTACCACTTCTGAAACCAAATGGGGGTTGCTATGAATTGGAACAGTGGGTTTGGTTTTTGGTTTTATGTTGGGTCCCCTTCTCAACTAAAAGAGTTGAATAATTCTTAATTGTAAGCTATTCTATATTCATGGCTGTCATTAATATTTTTAAGATGTTTTCCAGATTAACTGAACATTTACCCCTTGAAATGTCTCAGTATCTTAAGGCTTTGGGAGCATCAAATCTCATATATGGCCATAGTTCCCAGGGAGGATAATAGTATATAATCAAGTCACCACATGAGATAAGTTGAAAGCAGTTTTTCATGTATATATTGGGATACATGTTTTGGGAAAACAAGCAAGCCCCTCCAAAGGCATTTCTATAACATGTAAAAACAAGAGTGGTATATGAGATTAGTACTTTTCTCATTACCAGTAATATCCATAGTAAAATTAAAATTAACATTTGTTGGGTTACTTTACATAAATGTTGTAAATAGGAAAAATTAAAAATGACCCCAAATGCCACTACTCAGGAAATCTAGTTAAGTAATAAATATTATACATGCCTTGATTTTAAAATTCAAATAGTACCAAAAAAAATGTAACATAGAAAAGATGTTCACCTCTATCCTCCTTTCTAAAATGTCTTCTTCCAGTTAAGCAGTAACAGCTTCTTGCTTATCCTTCAAGAGTATATTTCAGAAAGAAATACATTTATTTATAGATACAATCCATTTTTATTCACATGAAAGATATGTTGAACATTCTTTGACTCCTACTAGCAAACATGACCCACATACAATTTTTCAATTCAATAGATATCTAGACTCACAAAAGTCTGTCATGTCAGAAAGCATGGATGCAGCTTACTCAGGTTTAGAGAAGTAGGAAAGAAAGATTAGGAAGTAAATTAAATAATAAGAAACAGCTGTTACCTCCCCCTATTGTTGAACCCACCAGCCGCTCCACTGAAGAAATATGGGACAGTCTGCTTCTATAAAGTTTTACAGACTTGGAAACCCAATGGTCACTATGAGTTAGAATCAACTCGATGGCAGTGAGTTTGGTTTGGTTTGAAAGTAAACCAGAGAAAAAAATGCTACCTCCATTTTGTTTCCATTTAAGAACTGAAGACTATACATACTTGAAAGAATGCTTCTCCACAAGAATCTCTTTTTCCCTTAAGACTAAGACAATTTGAAATATACTATAACAAATTACTTTCATTTAAACAAGATTTTTCTGATTTTTTCATGCTAAAGTTAAAATATATTCTCCTTAAGGAAGTCTTTTTATTCCTCCCTTCTTTGTGTACATTCCTTATTATTCCCATGATATTTAGGCTGTTGTAGGACTTATCACACTAGGGCCAGTATAAGATCTTGGTCCATAAAAGTTCAAATAAACAATGAAATATCCATTTCCCAACAGTTAGTTGTTTATGGTATTAAAAAAAAAAGTCATCAGGTAGATTCATGAACAACTCGTGTGCAGAATAGAACTGTGTTCTTTGCTGTGTGTGGCCTTCAGATCACTTTCAATTGCCAAAGGGTTAATAGTCAAGTTTTTAACTGTTTGCTGCATCCTGTGTATGGTATAAAATACACACCAAACCCATAACCATCGAGTCACTTCTGACTCATAACAACTCTATAGGTCAGAAAACTACCCTAAAGCATTTCCAAGACTGTAAATCATGACAGAATTAGACTGCTTCATCTTTTTCCATGGGAGTAGTGGCGGGTTCAAACTGTTGACCTATTGGTTAGCAGCTGAATGCGTTAACTGTTACATCACCAGAGCTCCCGTATATGGTATAAACTCACTGCTATAGAGGCAGATCCGACTCCTAGAGATCCCCCTCCTTGGGTTTCCAAGGTGGTATCACTACAGAATTAGATTGCCCAACCTTCCTTCTGAGGATTGGCTGGTGGGTTTGAACCGCCAGCCTTCTGGTTAGCAGTCAAATGCCACTAGAGCTCCTTTTATATGGTATGGGTGCTGAATAATTATAGACTAAACATTAGTCTCTGTTATTAGTTGTGATTGTTAACTTTTGGATGATTTCTGATTGTTTTGTGCCTTGAGGATAGGTGTTGAAAAAAGATGCTTTGTCAATATTTATTGGTTGAATTAAACTGAATTATAAGGTTAATAAATGATTATATTTTCTAGTTACATGATTTTACTGAGAATTCACATTCTGTTAAGCCCATTTCATGATACTTCTCCTTAACCGGCTTCTTTGCCCTCAATTTGTTCTTCCACCTATTATATTCTCCCCTAGTCACTGCTGTTCTACTGTTTCCCTCTTTATTCAATTATTCATTTTGATGTCTTTCCCATTTCTCTTTTCTCCCTTCCTATCCAAGTTTTTCCCTCTTATGAAATCACACCACACACACATAGTTTTATATATTTAATGTTGCCTTACCGGGATGAAGATGTAGGCTCAGTAGTTTGTCTTTGCACACGTGCATGTTTAATTAAATGTTCCTTTAAAGCCGTCTGGACTTCTGCTGGGATATCGGGGGAAGTGTGACTGATTTTTATCGCGGGCTCAATAGCTGTTAATGCTGGTTTTCCATTTTCTTTAACCTCCTTTTTCTCTTCAGTCTCAAAAATTTCAGTCGGAGCACTTGAAATGCTCTGTGGAAGGGCATTGACATTGGTAGTGATAGCTTTGCTTTTCCAGCAAGGCCAGCATAACTTCCAGAAGACAAAAAGTGAGACAACCAATAAGGCCAGGCCACAAAAGCTGACAATGACTGCTAACAAGCTGACTGAAATATCTGGAAGAAAATGATAATATGAAGAAATATTAGTTAATCAGTCTTGTACATAAAAGGGCAGAAATGGTGAGATGAGTTTACATTATTAATAGTTCCCTGATTTATACTTTCAAAAAAGCACTTCTAAATTATCTTTGCAGGGAGGAAATACTAATAACTATGTCTAGAATATCTCAAGGGAGAAATTTGAAATATTTTAGTCAAAGAAGCATTTCCAACCATATATATGAAAAGCATGATATATATATAAATAATTTCCAAGAACACTATAAATGTCCAAGATTTTGCAAAATAAAGGTTGGCAACCTGCCCTGAAGCCATGAAGTTTAAGAAACTGTGAAAGTGCACAAAATAGGAAATGCTTCTGTTTGTTCCATCTTTGATCTAAAAGTGCAAATTTTTGATGATCTAAGCAGAGAATAATGTTAAATATAAATGAGAAGAACATAACTAATAGAGGACGGACACACCATTAACTACCTTTTCAAGCTTCCTAAGCTCTTTCTGATAACCTTGAATGTGCCTACTTTCTTAAGTCCTACATTAGTTAATGATTTGCTATCTAGCTTTCTTTAACATATTATTTTTAAATAATTATAAAAATAATATATGCTTGTATAAAATTATCTAAAGAAATATGCTAAGTATTTTAATAAAACTGAATAAATAAATGAATGGAAGAGACAAATCTCCCATGCAGAAGAATTCCAAATAATTTATGTAGGTGCTTCACCATCTGGAAGGGGAAACTTAACTCTCCACTCTTGAACTGTGGGCTGCACATAGTGACTTCTTTCCAGAGAGTACTAGATAGAAAATGGGAAAAGAGAGTGATGTCACATTGAAGAAACCTGACAGTATTTCAGCAAGATGATCAAAGTATCCTTGATATGAGGCGCTGAAAAACGCACTTTACCTCTGTGATCTTCCTCACAAAAACCTAAAGTCCCAGTTTAATCATGAGAAAAACATCAGAAAAATACCAATAGAATGGCATCCTACAATATACTTGAGCAGTGTTCCTTAAAACTGTCAAGGTCATAAGAAACAAAAGTCTGAGAGTTGTCATAGTCAAGAGGAGATTGAAGAGATGTGATAAGTAAATATAATGTGGTATCTTGGAGCAGAAAAATGGCATTAGGTAAGAACTAAGGAGATCTGAATACAGTACAGGTTGTTGTTGTCGAGTCGTGTCTGACTCATAGTGACCCTATGTACAGCAGAACGAAACTGCCCAGTCCTGTGCCAGCTCCACGATCCTTGCTATATCTGAGCCCATGTTGTAGTCACTGTGCCATTCTATCTTGTTGAGGGCCTTCCACTTTTTTGTTGACCCTCCAATTTACCAAGCATGATATCCTTCTCCAGGGAATGGTCCCTTCTGACAACATGACCAAAGTAGATGAGACAAAGTCTGACCATTCTCACTTCCAAGGAACGTTCTGGCTGCACTTCTTCCAGTACAGATTTGTTAGTTCTTTTACAGTCTATGGTACTTTCAGCATTCTTTGCCAGCACCACAACTCAAAAGCATTGACTCTTCTTTGATCTTCCTTATTTGTTGTCCAGCTCTCACACGCATATGAGGCGATTGAAAACACCATGGCTTGTGTGAGGCACACTTTAGTCTTCAAGGAGTTATCTTTGCTCTTCAGCACCTGAAAGAGGTCTTTTGCAGCAGTTTTGCCAATGCTATACATCATCTGATAGCACTCCCTTCTTGATTTTAAACCATGCAGTGTCCCCTTGTTCTGCTCGAATGACTGCCTCCTGCTCTATGTATAGGTTCCTCATGAGTACAAGTTAAGTGTTCTGGAATTCCCGTTCTTTTCAATGTTATCCATAATTCATTATGATCCACACAATAGAATGCTTTTGCACAGTCAATAAAACACAATTAAACATCTTTCTAGTATTCTTTGCTTTCAGCCAAGATCCATCTGACATCAGCAATGATATCTATCCCTTATTCCACAGTACAGGTAGTCCCTGGATTATAAACAAATCCCATTTCTGAATTGTCTTTAAGTCAAATTTGTACATAGTTAGATGTGGTTAGTATCTAATGTCAACCAAATGTTTGTTTTAGTATATAATATATAGTATAACTTTCCATGCATGGAAACATTAAAGAAACACTTTCAGACATACTAAAGCAGCTTTAACATAATAATGCAGTAGCACTTGTTTGTTATTATTAATCATTGTATGTTCCTGAAAATTTTAATGTATTGTTGTTATGTGCCGTTGAGCTGGACCTGACTCATGGAGACCCCTCCTTGGGTTTCCAAGGTGGTATCACTACAGAAGTAGATTCCCTAACCTTCCTTCCAAGGAGTGGCTGGTGGGTTTGAATTGCCAGCCTCTGGTTAGCAGTCAAGTGCCTTAGGCACTACGCTACCAGAGCTCCCAAAAT